ACGAAATGGGACTTGGTAGGGAGCCGTCGGATAAATTAGGTACGCAAAAATGTGAAACAATCCGAGATCATATGATGATTAAAGACCTCTCCCACAGATTTCAACACAGGGGTATTCTAGTCATTTCGCTCAAAAGGAAACTGCCCTTGTCCAATTAAAAGATATATTTTGGGTTTTTCCCCTTCTAAAAAGAAAAAGGGATAATATTTTTACACATAACTTTGTCTTTCACTAAATTTGTGGGCCTTGCAAAATCAAAATACAGTATATCTATTTTTATATTTTTTCCTTATATTATTTATTAAAAATTTTAGGTTATGATGAGTTGGCTTAGATGAACAATTGAACTGATGCATTGAGCCGAGTTCTCAAGTGGTCACTCGAATCATCACCAAAGATTCTATACATCATTAGGTCTTTAAAAATCTTAGTGAATGAGCAAGATTGATGCTAGAGATTAAGGAAGAGGTGTCAAACAACTTGAAACCCTAAATTCTTTATAGTTTTAATAAAGCGTTTAGTGTTTTTAATTAATAAAGTGCTTGAGGTTAAGAAATTTGAACTTGTGTATTGATATATGGTATAGGGGTGTTAAAAAAGGCCAAAGACGAATATATATATATATATATATATATATATATTTATTTATTTATTTATTGTTCAAATTCAACTAAGGGTGTTTAAGAATACTACAGTGGTAATAGTGAATTATTAAAATACGTTTTGTTTCTATTGAATTTTATGATAAAAATTGTATAAATAAAATTACTCTCAATTATTCAGCATGAGCTTAACTCAACTAGTTTAGGTATCTATCTCCAACTAAAAATTTGTGAGTTTGAATATCACACTCTCATATGTTTTTGTATTAAGAAAAAAAATTACTCTAGAATGTAATTATGATATGCATAGCTCCACGGTTAAAGTATCTTATTATTATTATTTTTAAAATAAAAGACATTTTACTTCATGTTGATTTGATTTTAGATGCACTTTTTTAAGTCAATCTATAAAGTTCCACCAAAAGGTGGATTATGCGCAATAGTTGACATTTTATCTCGGGAGAGTTGTTTTAGAAACTTATTTACATAAATGTCTAAAATTTTCTAATTTTACCTCTTTTAGATTTCTGCCGCTAGGATTTTATTTTAATTCTAAATTTACCCTAAAATAGCATTTAAAATTTGCTTTTTCTAAAATATAAAAGTTTTAATTCCATAAATTAATATCATAATCCTTGGGCGCACCATCTTCTCATCATCCTCATTTCTGCTACTGCTTGGCTGGTACGATTTTCTTTATACTTATTCTTTGAGTTTTAGTTTTTTATTTGATTGCTTGAATATTTCAACAGGTACAGTTCTTTTTTTTTTTGTTATTTATCCTTTAACAGAAGATAATTAACAGGAAGCACGTATTGATTGACGCCAATATTGAAAAGAGAAAAAAAAACACAGTTTATCTATATATCGAAGGAAATATAAGTATGAATGAATATTATTTTCTTTTTTTAAATTACAGTTTAGCTATTTCTATACATGGGTATAAATTATGTTCATGTTGTTTCGTTATTATAAAATATAATCTACTCGTACTTTTGAAATCTACTATTAATATTATATATAAACGTGTTTTAAGCAAGATATAATTTATACCCACGTAAGTAAATGGAAATCACTAACGATATATATTCACCATCAGTATGTAAATCACTATCAGTATATATCCACAAAATAACAGAAACATCAAAAGTCAAGATGTAAATCACTAACGGTATATATCCACCAGTATAATATTGTAGGTAGTATATATCCACTATATTCTTAGTTTTAAATCATCATCAGTATATATCCGCATATATAAAACTTGAGTTATAATATATATCTTAATTTAATCACTATACTATATATTCTCACGTCTATAATATTTCAAACAAACAAAATCAGAAATATATACTCGTATACAGGGGCGTTTAAAAAACCCGATAACCCGACGAACCCGATGAACCCCACCCAAACCATAATGGTTGGGTTGGGTTAGATGAAGGTTTGGGTTGGGTTGGGTTGAAATTTTCCCAACCCGACCGAGTTGGGTTGGGTCTCAGGTTCAACCTTTAAAAATTCGGGTCAATCCAACCTAATCCGAATTTATGCATATTATATATGTTTTTTTAATTATAAATAATATAATAATATCTTTATAAATATATAATATCTTTTTTTTTATTTTTAATCTCAATCCTCCATTATTTTTAATCCTAGTCGTTCATTTTAGGTTAGAGTTTTTTTTAATCTTTTCAATCTCACTTTCCCTCCTCCCTTCGCTCAAGCCTCTCCCCTGATTTTCTTCCCTCTCCCAAGCCTTCTCTCCTCCATTTTCTTCCCACAATCAAGCTTCTTTACTCCATTTTCTTATATCTCTCAAGTTTCTCTCTTCCATTTTCTTCCCTCACTCAGCTTCCCATCGCCATCGTCTTTCGCAGCTCCCATCGCCGCCCGCCTTTGGAGCTCACGTCGCCGTCCCAACCCGTCATCGCCGCCGGCCTTACCCTCTTTGCCAACGAAAGGAGCCCCAGTAAATGAGGTAAAAATTTATGAAAAAAAATAACAACCCGACAACCCAACCCGAAAATTTTGGGTTGGGTTGGGTTGGCTATCGATTTTAGACCCGTCGGTTCTCACATATGGCCAACCCGAAAATTCGGTTCATTCTCTGCAACAAAGAAAAGCGGAGCTGCCGGAGAGGAAGGGAGACAACGACGAATGTCGGAGAAGAGGAACAGAGGTTTCGAAGGAAGGAAAGAAAAACGAGGAAGAAGAACAGAGGTTTTGAAAATTTGGGGGTTTTAGGATTTTTGAATGTTTGAGACTGTAATTAACCCAATTTAAGGGATTTCCTCCCAATTTACCAATTCTATATTTTAATAATTATTTAATATTGAGATGGATCTTAGGGATATATTAATAGTATGTGTTATGAGTACTGTCTAATTAGGAATTGTTTCAGTCTAAATTTTTTACTTTTCCATCCTTTTAACGTAAGGGAGGCCACTTACTTTCCATAAAGTTTGCTATGGTTGGAACAATTTGGGATCACTTGGGCCTGAATCTGGGCCGATTTATTGGCCCAAACAAGAAAGGCAATTGGAAGAGAAGTCATTTGAGACAAGCAACCAAATCGATACTCTTATCTTATTTTTCTTTTTTCTTTTTTCAAACGAGACAAACACATTTTATCAAACCAAAAAAGCACACTGATGTAGTGCTAGTCAAACACTTTCTATACTTAAATTAGATCTACGTCAAAAGTAATAAGAATTAGGATATTTATTTAACATCTCTTGATTATATGATTTTAGTGAAAAATCTAAGGTCTTCTAGATATTTTTTCTATGAAAGACTTAAGTTGCCTCCTAGAAAGCTAACTCATAAATAGGGCCAAAGAGATTAGGTCTCAAGTACTTGGCCCATGGCACAGCTCAGTCTTTAGGGTTTAGTCTA